TTCAAAACTCCAAACCATCATTTTATATGCCACCTAAATATCTAATAATGTACACCTTACATTGATATTCAGTGCGAGGTTTTGGAATCCGAGTTGTATAGTATATTGAAATCAATTAATAACAATTTTGTTGACCTCTTGCCGTGACAACTGCTCTTCTCTACATAAAACAAGGGAAAAGACCTTCCCTTATTCTGATTTGATAAAGAAATAGGCGGATAAAAAGGTCAGCTTTGAGTAATGAACCTAACTTTTTAACTCTTCCCAGCAGGAGAAATTCTACTGTCTTTCATGTGACATCTTACATCAGTGTTTCTCAACCTTGGTGACTTTAAAGTCCTGTGGACTTCAAGTCACCAAGGTTGAGAAACACTGACGTAAGATGTCACATGAAATACAGTAGAATTTCTCCTGCTGGAAAGAATTAAAAAGTGAGGTTCATTACTCAAGGCTGACCTTTTTATCCGCCTATTTCTTTATCAAATCAGAATAAGGGAAGGTCTTTTCCCTTGTTTTATGTAGAGAAGAGCAGTTGTCACGGCAAGAGATCAACAAAATAGTTATTAATTGATTTCAATACACTATACAATACTATACAACTCGGATTCCGAAATCTCTCATTGAATATCAATGTAAGGTGTACATTATTAGATATTTAGGTGGCATATAAAATGATGGTTTGGAGTTTTGAAACTAATAATAACAGACTTCAGATTTCCAATATTTCTAATTTGACGTCTACAATTTATAATACTAACACAAATATATACAAAATAGGGGCCTGTAGATGGTGGTCCATAAAATCACCAGGAGTTGAGATCATTTCGAGGACCCTTTCACTTTTAATTAATAGAATTATGAATAGAATAGAGCTGTGCTGGCTGGGGGATTCTGGGAGTTGAAGTCCACAGGACTTAAAGTCACCAAGGTTGAGAAACACTGATTTAAAGGCTTGGTCTTAAGATAGGGGGGGGGGTTGTTTCCTTAGGTCTACAAGTCTTGTGGGGGGGGGTCGATTTTGCAACTTAGCAGCGACACAGAGAGAGAGGAAAAGCAGCAACAGCCTTCACCTCCGCTGGTGTTTCTCCCCGGCCAACCCCGAATTTGCACGCCTAGAAGCCTAACAGGTGTCTCCGCCAGAGTCTTAGCAGCCCCCCCCCCCGTCTCCCTCCCCGGCCAGGCTCAGGGAGTCGGAGCGGCTCTCCTTACCTGGAGGACTCCCCGCTGAAGCTCCCGCCGTCCAGCAGCCGCACCTTGCAGAAGAGGATCCCGTTGACGAAGGGCACCGACGAGAGCTCGTCCAGCTCCAGCTCCACGCGGAATTTGAACTTCTTCTTCTTCATCATCATGAAGGCCATGCGGGGAGTCCGAGGGGAAAGGAGGCGCCCCCTCTCTCGTCTCGGCTTAACCCCCCGCCGCCTCCTCCTCCTCCATTACTGCCCAGCCGTCGCTTCTCCGGCCCTGGTGACCAGGCAACGCAGGGGAGGAGCGGCAGGAGGCGGGTGGGCGAAGGAGGGGAGAGAGAGAGAAGGAAGGAAGGAAGGTGGGGGGAGAAGAAGAGAAAAACCCGCCCGCCCGCGCGCTGCCTTCACCTACGACGCGCGCCTTGCTGCGCCCGCCCCAGCCGAGGCCACAAACCGCCCGCCCGCGTTCAAACCAGCCGCCTCCGCTCTCCTCTCTCTCTCTCTCCTTCTCCCCCGCACGGGCTCTCTCGCTCTCTCTCTCCCCCAAGCCCGGCTCCTTCCCTGCCCTCCTGCGGCGTTGAGTCACGAGGAAGCCCGCTGAGGGACGGGGCTGGGCGCCCCTGCCGGCTCCAGACGGCACCGAAGGCTCCCGGGGGTGGAAGGTGTGTGTGTGTGGGGGGGGGGTTGAGAAGGTGACGCGGTGGGTCCGGCGCGCGCCAGGCGGAGAATCCCCGGGCGTTGGTCCTCCCTTCCTTCGGGCTTCTCCCGCTCCCTCCCTCCCTCCCTCCCTCCCCGCCAGCTGCAACAGGAGGGACCCCCCCCCCGGAAGGCGTCAAGGAAAAGGGGGGGCTTTGGGGGGGCACAGAACCGGCGACCAGGGGTTGCAATGGGGGGACTCCTTTCCTCAGCGGTTGAAGAGAAACAAGGTGTCAAAAGCGACAAGGCATCTCCCGCTCTGGCTACAATCCTGCCTTCTTTCTCCCCGGAATGATACAAAATTCCCTTGTGACTTCTTCTGTGTTTAGGATAAAGGCTTTTCATCATTATATATATATATACATATATGATACATATGTATTTATGTGTATGTGTGTGTATGTGTGTGTATGTGTATGTATGTGTGTATATATATATATATATTCATACACATATATTCATACACACATATATACATATGATACATACATACACACATACATACACACATATTCATATATTCATACACATATATTCACATACATACACACACATACATATACACACATATTCATATATTCCTACACACACACACACACACACATGATACATACATACATACATACATATTCATATATTCCTACACACATATGTGATACATACATACACACACATTCATATATTCATACACACACATATATATACACATACATACATACACACATATATATATACACACACATTCATATATTCATACACATATATATACACATACACACACACATATTCATATATTCATACACACATATGATACATACATACATTCACACATACATACATACACACATACACACATATTCATATATTCATACACACATATCTATACACATACACACACACACACACACATATATATACACACAGACACATATTCATATATTCATACACACATATACACATACATACACATATACACACATACACACATACACACACATATATATATACACACATTCATATATTCATACACATACATACATACATACATACATACATACATACATACATACATGGATGCTTTTCCTCCATTCGTTAATCATTTTTAATTGTTATTCATAATTCATCTTGATTTCTAGAATAATAAAAATTTCGGGTTCCATGTCTACAGAAAATGGTGCAACTTAGAATGACTATTCACTTAAAAATGCTAATTAAGACTTCTTTTTAGCAAAGCTGATTATGAGTGTAAAAATTCAACCTCCCTGTAAAATAATGTGTCCCCAATATATCATCCTCTTTGCAACTGAGATGCCTTTGTGCTACTGTATATGAGTCACAATTTGAAAAACGTTTTTGAGCACGGTTTTGTGACTCTCCCGCTCTTAATATCTTGGCAGCAGTACTGAGTTGTTAATGCCTTAAGGACTTTCTGTCAAGGTGAAGTGCCTTTAAATAGCCGAATGTTTAATACCTTAAGCAAAATACACCCAGCAAAAATTAGGACACATATCATTATTCACTTTATGGCATCTAAGTGGGGACAAGTTGAAGAATGTTGTGTTTTGCAAAGTTAAATGGGTGACTAATTACCTTTACAGAATTAGTATATTTCAATTTTTTTTCTCTAAAACATTCAAGGCAATATTTTTATTCCCACGCCCTGCCATTATCTCTTTGGGTTAACCTTACAAAGTCGATTGCTCGGAAAGAAAGATTGGCAGTGAAAGGATCTCAACATTGCAAAAGTTTGAACCAAAAACATGAAGGAATGTGAAATTAGATCTCTCCCATAACAGCTCTGCTTAGTACAGTAATGTCAAATTTAGTAATTCCTGGTGCGCACATTTCTAAGCGTGTAGCTATAGTATTAGCAACACCTCATGCTAAAGGAGATAAGGAGAAGATTATCTGTTGCCAGGTTGTATACCTCTTGAGTAGATATTTATTCTCCCTCATGTCTGTTACCAGTAATTTACTCAGGAAGTTACAACAGGCTTGAGTGTAACACGCACATTGTTATGGTGCTTAGCAAAATTTTATATACATTTCTACCCAGAGCTTCCTTCAGTTTCTTAACTTTCTTATTCATATTATTCATATTTTTTATTCATACAGGTGTTTTTCATTATAACAGATATGCAATTAGAAGTTTCATTACTATCATGTCTCAGGTTTATTTTTAACCTAAAGTGGAGGATTGAAAGAAGGAAAAATAATCTTTCCCTGAATTTCTGGATTGCAAAAATAACAAAGTAGTTCCTAGACCAGTGTTTCTCAACCTTGGCAACTTGAAGATGTCCGGACTTCAACTCCCAGAATTCCCCAGCCAGCATTCGCTCTTGATCCCAAAATGTAGGTTGCTAAGTGGGAAATTTATTAAGTGACTTTTGCTCCATTTAACAACTTTTCTTGCCACATTTGTTAAGTGAATCACTGCAGTTCTTAAATTAGTAACACGGTTGTTAAGTGAATCTGGCTGAAACAAAAAGTCAAACTGACTTTCTTTTGTCTGGGGACCCCAGGACTCTGCAACGGTCATAAATGTGAGTCAGTTGCCAAGCATCCAAATGTAAAAAAAAACAAAACAGGACCACGGGGATGCTGCAATGGTCATAAGTATAAAAATGAGAATCACTTTTTTTTCAGTGCCGTTGTAACGTTGAACAGTCACTGTTGAACTGTTGTAACTCGAGGATTACCTGTATTTACAGTATTTTATGACTAATGACGAGTCGTTTAGCAGCGTTTCAAAATTACAATGGATGACCCACTTTACAACTGTCAGAACTTATGAATGTAATTGGCAGGCTCAATTACGGTTATAAGCCAAGAATTACCCTATGGTACTATCAGTGTTTCTCAACCTTGGCCACTTGAAGATGTCCGGACTTCAACTCCCAGAATTCCCCAGCCAGCATTCGCTGGCTGGGGAATTCTGGGAGNAATTCATAATTATCTATCAAATAACAATGAGTCTTTAAAGTATTATGGTATCACCTATCTCTCAGGAGAAAAAGCGAAGATTCAAACAAAGAATTCCCATTAATTTATAATATACATTCATATTTTCAATTGACCATATTACCCTTCTATCCAGTTCGTCTAAAATTTGATGGATATGGAATATGATATATTCTTTACAATATTAAGGACCTGCCCAGAATTTTACTCAAGTCCAAAACATTCAGAGCATCTTTTCCATTTCTGTAATGGAGGAGAGAGTTGTTAATTAGGTTCTGAATATCCAGATTATGAATAATTTATTCTATCTAGAATTTCCTAGCGACCGTTCGAGTGCATTAATTTGTGTAGCAAATACATCCACCCACGAACCAAAACCTTTTTTCTGGGAAGAAAATAACATCTGTGGAAGCCAACGGAGATTTTTAAAATAGCAACAACAACAGGACTGCCACCCTTCTACCTGGCTTTTTGGTAGTACAGTTATTAACAATCTGATGAAATGTGAATCCTGAAATATAGATTATAGCAAGCCACAGATTCTACAGTAACAAATGTGACAATCAATACTGAGATTGAGGAGAAAAAGCTTTCCGAGCACCAATAATACTTCAGTAAATCAGGAAACAATGCAGTGGAAAAACTAACTTGATTCCACTTAACAAAATAATGACAACAATTTAACTATAGTTTTATTTTTATTGTATTTTTTTAGGGGAGAAGAAAGTACATTTTCACACAGAGAACACATTAACCGAGGAACAAGCTGGATTTAGAAGTGGCTGTTCTATTTTTGACTGTGCTCTTATTCCACAACATCTAAACAGAAAAATACACTTCCGAATCATGTGCAAAGCTATATACAGCTTTTATAGATTTCTCTCTCACACACACAGAATGGCTATTGTGAAGATTTTACTTTTGATTAGCCCATCACTGTATGCTACCTATTCTCATGGCTTTAAGTAGCTTATAATTTATTTTATTTTATTTTAATTTTATACACATAAGCACATCAACAGAACACATAAACACATT